AGCCAGAGGTGAGAGAATTGCCTGAGTCCAGGGGTTTGGGATCAACTTGGGCAACTTGGTGAGACCTCCTCTCTACAATAAATCAAAAAATTAGCCAGGTGTGGTGGCACTTGCCTGTGGTTCCAGCTACTTGGAAGGCTGAAATGGAAGGATGACCTGAGCCCAGCAGGCCAACCAAAGCTGCAGTGGCTGCGAGCATGCCACTGCACTCCAGCCTAGGCAACAGTGAGACTCTGACTCAGAAAACAAAATAAGAGAACCTTAGGTTTCCGTGCAGGGTCAAGGCTTGGTCTGAGGGATACTACTTGGATGAGGAATTCTGCTGAGCAGTTTCTGCCTGTGGGATCAAGCTGGTCACCTCAACAGGAGAGGTAAACTAAGGCGAAGACCCCATGATGGGCCCAAGCCCTTAGTAACACCATAACCCAGCTGTTTCTCAGTTCCCTCATGCACTTGCATGGGAACAGGCACTGTGGACAGGATGGGAACATCACTGCTTTGTCACTTTCATCAGTTGTTTAGGCAGGTGTCCCAAAGGAGCTGTCCAGCTGTGAGCTGAGGGCTCCACACTTTGGAGAAATCAGTATGCAAAGCCTAAGATGGGAAGAGCAAGGTCCTAGGATGGAGACCATCTCCTTTGAGCCCTGAGGCTGGACTGGTGTCCCTGTGCCTCGCTCTCATTGGCCCTTGTCCTTCCTGCCAACAGCATTCCTCACACATGCCTCCTTGCAAGTGTCCCCCCGGGCAAGGAGGCATGTGTGAGGTGCCACTGCAGCCCTGGCTGGCCTGCTGGGCTCAGGCGATCCTTCCATTTCAGACTTCCAAGTAGCTGGAACCACAGGCGAGCGCCACCACACCTGGCTAATTTTTTGTATTATTGTAGAGAGGAGGTCTCACCAAGTTGCCCGGGCTGGCACAGACTTTTCTCCAGCAGCTGGCACAGTAGGAGCTTCTGGAATATAAGTACACATCAGAAATTCCTATTCCCTGGCTCTCTCTGGAGAAAGAGCAAAGAGAGTTTGATCTCAGTGGTTATCCTGTCTTCTAGTGGCACAGCAGGCGTGGGGGGAGATATGAAGAGCTGTCCAGGAACTCTCAGCTTCAGTGGAGGAGAAGCACTGAAAAGCAAAGTGACTGGGTTCGGTGGCTCAGCCAGTAATCCCAGCACTTTGGAGGCTGAGGTGAGTGGATTGCCTGAGCCTATGGGTCCAAGACCAGCCCAGGCAGCATGGCAAGACCTCGTCTCTACAGTAAATAAAAAATTAGCCAGGTGTAGTAGTGCACACCTGTAGTTCCAGCTACTTGGAAGGCTGAGGCAGAAGGATGGCCAGAGCCCAGCAGGTCTGGGGTGGCCGAGAGCATGCTACTGCACTCCAGCCTGGATGACAGAGTGAGACTCCAACTCAAAAAAAAAAAAAAGCAAAGCACAGGACAGGCTGGGATGTAGCCAAGAGATCAAAGGACAGGAGGACTCTGGAGCTGAGAACAAGGGCAGAGGCTCAGGGATCAGGGGCTCTCTTGGAGGGGTGGGGCAGCCTAGGAACTCCAGGGGCACTTAGGAGAGTAATAGGGCAGGAAGGAAGAGTATTCTCAGGATTCAGTGCCTAGAGGAAAGAGACACAAGAGAGATGCATGCCCAGTGTGGTCAAGCCTGGTGCAGTGAGGCCCAGTGGGGAAGAGCACAGGCCATGGGCAGAAGTAACTTACCTGAAGTTGATGATACAGCTGCAAGCCTCTCACCAGCATGAGCGCCTTTTGTAACTGACATGCTCACCTACTCGCCACCTGAATAGCCAAATACACCAGGGGTGGGGTGTGGTGAAGAAAAGCAGCTTTATTCAAATGCCAGCAGCTGAGGAGATGGCTGGGCTCATGCCTCCAAGAAGCCATCGCCACTTTTGGGCTGTGTGCAGAGGCTTAAAAAGGGAAAGTGGAGCTGGGCTCGGTGGCTCAGCCTTGGGAGGCTGAGGTGAGTGAATTGCTTGAGCCCGTGGGTTCGAGACCCACCTGGGCAACTTGGTGAGACCTCATCTCTACAATAAATCAA